TTGTCATACCTATATCATTATTGAAAAATGATGTTTAAAAGATCATGCTTTCAAACTAAATTGCTTTATCTGTGCTCACTCATTTTAATTTGTTGTAACTTTTAATAAAAGGCCATGAATTACATTCTTCTGAAAATATCATTTTTCTCACATTGTACCAAATGTTATGACAGAATGGTGAGCAGGAACCCTTAGACCTCGGGGCCCCCATCTCTAGCCTTGATGGACAGAGGGTTATTCTAGAAGACAGGACGTCCAGAAAGGGGAAAGGTAAGCAGTGCGGAAAGCACCTTGCTGTATCAATATCACGCGTTTGTCTTTAAGGGAAGTCTCCTTTGAGTCAGAGGGCTCCTTGGGCTCCTGAAGACTTCGTGGATACTGTGTTCAGTAACTGTAAATAGGGAATGTGGAATCATATTTTGGGTGGATTTGGGGGTCTGTTTTAAAGGCTGTCATTTAGTTCAGAATTCTGATGCATATTGGGTCCAACAGTCACAGCAAACGAGTACCAGCTTCTTCATGTCTGACACATATAAGCCCTATTAAAGTGTTTTAGGAGGTTAACTAGCACCATCCTCGTTAACCAAATACTCTCAAGGAAGAGGGCCATCACATACAGGGCTCTTAATTTGTTTAGCAAATCAATACTCACTGCGTTCACCAGATTCTCAACAGTTTACAATAATTAAACATTTATAATAAAAGTATGAATCAAAACAAAATTACAAAACCTGAAACCACATCCCTCAGGGAATGAGACTGGCTACCCCAATGGTCACCACAAACCCTTTGGAATATTTATTTATTTAGCGTATGGCATCTCATACATGGACTTACATTAAACACTAACATTTAGCCTAAGTTAAAAGCACTTTAAAATATAAATATTAAAAAGATCTAGATTCAAATACCAATGTCTAGGCCATCTAACCAACTTTATATTCCTTCTTTTTTACTTTTAACAATCTTGATCTTTACTCCCTTCAAATAATGTCCTAGAACTTGATTTCT